TGAACGCGACAGCACAGCACAGTTTCTATACTTTTACTACGTAAATACTTTTCGAGCGCGAAAAATCATGTTTGAACACGCAGCGATTGCAGCGTGACTCACACTTTCCCGCAGCATATATTATTGATCGACCAGCCAAAGATTGCTAGGGACGAAAGGGGGAAATGCGATGAAAAAACCTTACCATTAGACGATTTTATATGGAGTCATAGGCGGAGATCGGAGAGACTTGAATTATTAATTGAATTTATATTTTATTACAACTGGTAGTATTAATATTTTTTTGCGATTCATAATGACGTGATACCAAACATACATTATAAGAAATAAATATACACAAACACTGAATATTGAGAACAAAATAAATATATTTTTTAGGCAACAAGTAATATTCCTATGTACGCATTATGATTGAACAGCAAAACAAATTATGCATTCTTCTAAAATAGAATACAACAAGTCAAAAATATCTGACTGAATAGAAAAATATAGGAAAACAAAAGTAATTTCTTGATGAAATAACCCATAAACAACACATAGAATTAGACTTTCTACTGAGATACTAAAAGCCACAAACCAATAGTATAATAAATGAATATCTAAAAATTCTAAAAGGTAGCCAATCTAGTATAGTTTCAATCCTGATTAGAGTCATGATCACTGTCTGAGGAACTGTCATTGCTATCACTTTCACCTCCTATGTTGATTATTATTTCTTCCTGTATTTCTTGAATGAGACTGTCTTTTTCCCAATATTCATCTTCAATTTTTATAACATGTCCAATAACCTTTTGCCAGTCACTGGCACTTACTGAAGCGATGGCCTTATTAGAAATTTCATCTAGTTTTTTATAGTAAATTCGCCGCTTGTATTATGGCTTCTAATGAAAAATTTTACTTGTGCCCAAATCATCTCTATGGGATTAAACTGACACATATAGGGTGGCGTTCGAAGTGGGGTGTGTCCGAAACTTCTTATTAAATTATCTATCTTATAATTTTTCTCATCAGATGGTGGCCTATGTAGACAAGCTATTTCATAAAGCTCCATTTTTTTAGCATTAGGATCATGCTCTATACCTTTTTTGCTCAACCACGTGATGATGTCTCTTTTTAGAGAAGATCTAGTTGGAGGCTTGTCTTCCAAAGCTGAATGGTAAGGTGCATTATCCATTATTATAATACTATTAGGAGGAATGTTAGGAAATAGTTTTTCAGTAAGCCACTTCGTGAAATTTTCTTGGTTCATTTGACCGTGATAATCACCAGTGGCACAGCCAGCCTTGAAAATGAGACAGGCTCCAGGAACAAAACCATCTTGCGAACCCGCATGAACAATTATAAGTCGTCCTGGAAATGAATAAATAGCCTCATTTTAGTGTTATTTTAAGTTTGCCAACACCTTTTTGAATCACTATGTATAAAAAACATATTTTTGAGAAAAAAATACTTGCAAGGGATTATGTATTCAATTAGACAAATTAAATGAGCACTTATTAAGAATATTCCAAAATTGAGAAAAATGTATAATAAGCAAAATCGAGGTGAAAGAAACTTTATTACCTGTAGAACTTATATTGCTCAGGACACCCATAATTTCTTCGCTTTGCCAGCATTTCTTGAAAGTGAGGTCATTATCAACCCAAGTTTCGTCCAAATAAATAATATGCCTTCCTTCTTCCCGGAACTTTTTAATAGACCTAAGATACTTGTATCGCCAATGTAAAATACTGGGTCTTTCCATTAGTAATTTCCTTTTGTTGTGGCATTTACGCCAGTAAAATCCTTTTGCTTTTAAAAGCAGCCTCAACGATTCTTTACCAAATGGAAATTCCATTTCTTCCTTCAGTTTGATTAGAAGTTTACTACAAGTAGGTACCACTTTAAAATCACAGTAAAATTTTTCTATCATTCTCCGAATAATGGAAAAATCGACTCCATCAATTTTTTGGATCACAGAAGGGCGTGATCTCTTTTTTCCGGGAGAAGCTAAAGGCTGTGTGGAGGTTGCATTTTGCCTGTCTTTATCTTCTTTTCTAATTTTACTTATAGTTCGTTCACTAACACCCGTATAATATGCCGCCCTTGCATTTCTAGCTACCAGTGGATAAACGAAAGTATTGTTAGCCGCTTCTGCATCGCAAGCACGTATCACGTTTGCTATTATTTCCCTTGCCTGGCTGTGAATAACTTTCCCATGCTTGAATTCCATTATCACCACTAAACAGTAAATTATATTTTCAAAGTATTTGCCAACTGCCTACGCCTATGGGAGTAGGTTTATAAATGACCGTGCCATCGGCACGTTATTCTAGTTTCAGATAAGATAAGAGTTTTGGACCAATCAGCGACCGGATGTTTACCTGCGGCCTGGGTTTTCCAGCTACATTGCCAAATTCAGCGGAACAATTCTATATCTTAAATATGTTAATATGTATGGACCGCATTTTATGTAGAACATCTGACAACTTCGCAATTTTTTGTCCGCATTCTTTCGGCTTGCAATCTTTCGCTGGTCCAACATGCGCTCACTGAACCAGAACAAATAAATACTCATCTACAAGCTTATAATAAGTAGACTCACTGAGAATTAAAGTTAATGTGGATCATTGAACCCTTCGCAGGGGAAACATAATTCGAAGATCGAAAAATAACAAAAATGCACAAAAAGCGCTAAATACCGTAAATATTATATAATGGAAAAATACGCGTCGTGAAGTTCACAAATAAAACTCATTTCGTCATACTTAAACTCAACATCACAACTTTGTCGCGAAATTTCAGGAAAGAAAGAGCTTGAGATGACAAGTTTTGCCATTTCTCGTTCATGGATAAGTATGAAAAATCTAAGAATGCACTTTTTGGGTGAAAAATGTTGATACAGAAGTACTACAACAGATGTCCCATCTAGACCATGCTGATTACCACCAACTCTGGAACAGCTGTCCACCGGACGGTCGAAATTTGTACTATAAAAATATTCCGTATTTTTATATACATATATTCCATCCTCATATAGACACCTTCTATGGAGGCTCGCGTTCTTTCTGGAAGGCTCTGGATTGGTGTATTTGAAAACAAATAGGCTCGCCGAAAGTAGAATGGGCAATCCAGTCGAGTTGGAAGATGAGTCTGCAAGGAACAGCCTAGTCGATATAGTCATAAATTTGTCACAAATTACTTGCAAGTGTTACTAAAAATTAGTGAGAAAGTATTATATATTATTTCACATTGAAAAGTAAAAACGGTGTTTCGGTTACAATATGCTGTCGAAATGGAATTTTTGGAAGTTTTGATTCTTGATAGACAAGTGGCGTACTTGAAGAAGACTCATAGAACCAGGATAATAATAATAATGTACTTTATCTGGTGGCACCTCCTGAGTCGATATGTACTTATTTAGATAACATGGGCGTCGGTTAGGGGGAAAGGAGGCTAGTGCCCGCCCTGGCTGCAGCTTGAGTAGTAAAACATTCTTAATACAAGTTTCATAATTAGCAAGAGCAAGAGAAATGTTGATCGGGCGCTTGCATTATGCCTTTCTTGTAACTACCGGGGTTTTGCATAAAAATCAATCAGTTGGATTTTTCATGCATTTTGATGACGTTCATAACTTACAAATTACCAATCTACGAAAATCTCGCTAGGCCTATACGGTATTATTTGTGGTAATATTTAATTGTTCATAGATATATACGTTTGATTATTCTTTGACTTTGGACGGTCGGCAATTGAAACTATTTTTTGGATTTTAAAACCATGTGTTCTGAAAGGTGAAAACCCAAATCCAAAATTATAGGTTAGGGATGTGACAGGGAATATTTAATCCATTTAGGTTGGCTAACCTTGCTCGCTTGAATCTGGGTAATCGATCTGTCTTGCAACTGCAAGTGACTGGATGCAATTATTCTGATGACGTCTACAAGAGATTACATGCAATGGTTTTGCGGACTGTAAAACGGTCTTCTTGAACGACGAGTGGTTGTATGGGTCAAAGCTCAGCCTGCATTCCTCTGAACTTTATTAACCCTTTGAGCCCCACTGGTTAGCACCAAAAACCATCTTTCAAAGCTCATTTTGCTATTTTCCTAGCGGTATCCCTGGCTAACCATAGTGTGTAACGTCTTGCCTAATGCATGCTGAACCTGTATTCAGCGGAAACAAACGAAATAAACTTATATTTGGTGCGTATTCCTGCTTCGTATAACGTCAAATGTCCAAGTAGGTTAACACCTAGTACAGGGTGAAGATTTTATAGATCAATTAGTAGTTCTTTGGTGAAAAAGTGTATAAAAATGGCTGGTAAGTACAAATAATCTGTGTATATGGCTTATTATGGTCGAATTTTGCACGCATCTGATTTCTGATTCGCAAAATATCACATTATTTACGGTGGTTTTGTGTAGTAACCACTAGGAAAGTACCCAACTTTTGTTTTTTGACAAAAGTTATTTATGTGTAACTTTGTGACAATTTTTAATGTCAACTAATATTTTCTGGTTTCATTTACGTGACCCATTCTTTTCAGCGAAAAAAAAATGGTCGATCGCTGAATTGGAAAGTATGAGCCTAGCTGATATTTATAAAATTGTAGAGGATGTAGACGAAGTACCTAGTGATAATGAGTCAGTACTAGATGATCTGGACGCTGTTATGAGTGATGAAATACCCATTACTCAAGAAAATGCTGACCTAAATAATGATCTTTTCAATCTTCGGAATATGGATGTCATTTTTGAGGACTTGATCGAAGATGAAACTGCTCTTTAGACAATACGCAGTGGGAAAGTGACGATGATATTCCACTAGCTAGAAGAAATGATATATTTCTGCCTTGCTACTGGACCAAAGATACAGTATACATCAACCAACCAAGCAAATTTGAAGAAGAGGCTGGCCCCAATTTGCCTGATATCCACCTACGGACGTTTTTTTTGCACCTATTTCCTGAAGACCTCACCGACCATATTGTTTTTCAAACAAACTTATATTGTGTACAGAAATTTGGCGATGGAAGAAACTTCGTTCCTACAACGAAGGATGAAATCAAAGTTTTCTTCGCTGTAAACTTGCTGATGGGTGTAAAAAGGCTACCCAGTTATAAAGATTACTGGTCGTCAGATGAAGTGCTCAGAGACTCATTTATTAGTGGCTGTATTTCCAGAGACCGTTTCGCATGGTTACTAAGTAATATTCACCTCAATGATAATTCCGTACAGCCCAAAAAGGATCAGTCACCATATGACAAACTTTATAAAGTGAGGCCACTTCTTTCCAGATTACAAGAGACATTTCTTTCTTCACTAAAGCCAAATGAGTTTCAGTCAGTAGATGAATCAATGATACGGTTCAAAGGCCGCAGCAGTATCAGACAGTACATGTCAATGAAACCTATAAAGCGCGGTTATAAGGTTTGGGTCAGAGCAGATTCTAGTGGATACATGTGTGAATTTCAAATCTATACCGGCAAGGTGGATCACGCTCCAGAAAAGAAATTAGGAGAGAGAGTTGTTATAGATCTAAGTAGAAACTTGGTTGGAAAAAACCACAAGATTTACTTTGACAACTTTTTCAATTCTGTCGAGTTACAAAGACAGTTGATCAACAATAAAATATACTCCTGTGGTACCTTACGAAAGGGTAGAAAGCACTGTCCTGAATTCAAGTCAGACAAGGATATGAAACGTGGTAAAGCCGATTGGCATATTTCCAAAGATGGTTTAGTTGCCCTGAAATGGGTAGACCGGCGTAGCATACTTATGTTGGGAAATCACAATGATCCCTCTGTTTTAGATACAGCATCTAGAAAAAGAAAAGACGGCTCTCCAGAGGATATACCATGTCCCCAGATGGTTGATGAATACAATGCCCATATGGGCTATGTGGATCGCTTTGATATGTTGAAAAGTCTCTATGAAGTTAACAGGAAAGCACATAAGTGGTGGCATAGAATTCTATTCTACTTCCTAGATGCTTGCGTTGTAAACAGTTTTATACTCTTCCAGCTAAGAAGTAACTCTAAGGGATTAACTCTGAAAAAAATTCGACTGTCTTTGGCACGAGGTCTCATTGGAGTAATAGGACCCACTAAATGAGGAAGACCATCTTTTGCACCTACTGTAAATAGATTCAAGAAGGTGGTACCCTATGAAGTACGATACTGTAAGGCTTCTCACATGCCTGAAAGATCAACATCTCTTAGATGCTCCCACTGCAGTACACTTGATAATCCACATAGAACTATATGGAAGTGTTCGACGTGTCATGTGGGATTATGCTTGAATAAAGATAGAAACTGCTTCTCACTGTTTCACAAAAGATAACTTTTTTTAATTCTTTTTTGAAAGTGTACCTTAGTTCCTGGTGGTTAGCGTTGGTGACCACGTCCTGAAGGATAGCTACACATGTTTATTTGAGAGTACTTTGTTTTAGAGGTTTATTTGTACTATTTTTAACTCATTGTTCAATAAATTTTAGGAGTTTGTGAATTTTAATTAATTTCGGGCTCAAAGGGTTAAATGGACGCCTATGATTTCAAACATCTTGTGTTCAAAGCCAAAGTAAAGTAAATAACATGAGATGTTGGAGAAGCAATACATGCATCCAATCCAAAAAAATGCTATTCACAGTGCTGCCGGTTTATAAATGAACTAGTAGGTCACTGTGACTGAAACATTCGGAACAAACTTTTTCCCATTGATTGGAAAATGCGCCGTATCAATTATACTTTCAACCATCGATCGAATTTTTCTCTTATTCGTTCAAACTAAATAACAACTAGTCCTTTGTGCTTCAGCTGCCAGAAAAATTCGCGATCGAGAAATAGTCTCAGTGGTAACGCCGCTAAAGTTTTTATTTTCCAGCGGCGTGTGTGTCTTTGAAAGTTGTAATTGAGAAGCATTAGTTCGAAATACTTCTGTCGAATCGTTTACGCTACTGAAAGTTTGTTCAAGCAGTCGGAAATATTTCCAGCAAGTTGCAAGTTTTATAAAGGCTTAAATTAAACTACGTGCTAGGGGTCTTCGAGGAACTGCGACCACTGCTCATAAGCTATTTTATGAGAAAACACATTGTAACAAATTATACAGGGTGACTTTGTAGTTGAGTCATTAATTTTCAGATAATGATTGTAGAAGGAAGATAAACCAAAATATGTGTGTAAAAATAAAAAAATTAAACAAAATTGTTACCTTGTTTTATAAAGTATCCGACAAGTATTTCAGTGCGGACCTGTATTTGATCGTGAGGTCCCCTGTGAGGTCTTAAGTCACCTGATTCACGAGCCTGTTGTACTACATTAACAAAGGCACGAGGGGTTGGTTGCACTCGATTGGGAAACCGATCCGCATAAACATGTGCCATTTTTTATTTCGTTTGAGCCACTATTCACACGCGACTGACACTGACTGTATGTATAACTGAACTGAATGAAATAATTGTAAAAACATCGTCTTTCGCTTTTTTGTTTCCGATGCGATGAACCGATAAGGTGGATTATATCCGTTGTTGCCAAACACGAGCACATGATATTATTATTGAGACAGGGCGGTACTCAAACTTCCAAAGGGCTATGACTTTGTTACTTTAATTTTACCAGAAAAATGGTAAAGGAAAAAAACATTTCTTTTGATCAGATCTACTCACTGTTAAAATAAATGACTCAACTTCGACGTCACCCTGTATATTATAAGTATTATAATAATCCTAAACAGATGTGGAATAGTTTCTCCAGGTGGAATATACACACAAAATCCAGTAAACACATATCACAGGACACTGAAAACGCTGAAAGCATCAATAATCACTTTATTAACTCTGTACCAAACCTGCAGTCAGATGACTTATTTCTTAACACATTCTCATATCAAAAAAATTCTATAGTATGCAAGTCTTCATTTAATCATGTTACATCAGACCAAGTTGAACTAAAACTGAAAGGAGTGAAGTCAAATGCTGCGGGTGTTGATGGTATCACTACAAACATGTTGAGAAACGTGTTCTCCTTTTGTAAATATCAGCTAACCAGTATCATCAACCAATCACTGAGTACAGGGGAAGTGCCATCATTATGGATAAAAGCAGTCATAACACCACTTGCAAAAGTTAATAATGCCATCGATTTTAAGGACCTCAGACCAATAAGTGCTTTACCTTCAATGTCCAAACTGTTAGAGAAAATTGTAGATGATGAACTTCGTGAGCATCTAGAAATCAACAAAGTGTTGCCTGACACCCAGGCTGGGTTTAGGAAATTACATAATACATCTACAGCGCTCATTAAAATTTCCAGTGATATAGTGAAATTTATAGACGATGGCATGATAACGCTACTAGTCATGCTAGACTTCAGCAAGGCATTTGACATGGTAAATCACAGAGTTTTGTGGGAAAAACTGCACCATTATGGTTTGACCGGAAATGCCATGCTGTGGTTTAGTAATTACTTGTTTGATAGATCTCAATGTGTGAAATTGCGTGGTAAAGTGTCTACTTTACGAGCTTTGAAGTCTGGTGTTCCACAAGGCAGGGTTTTTAAGCCCTATTTTATTTAATTTTTATATCTCAGATCTGATAAAACATATATCATCTGACTGGAATGAACATTTGTATGCGGATGATGTACAAGTTTACAAACCATGTCAACCAACCGATGTAAATTCTTTAATATTAGAACTTAATAAAAATTTAGACATAATTGAACAGTACTCAAAAAATCATTCTTTGAAGCTCAATCCCTTGAAAACCAAAGTATGTTGTGTTGGTTCTAGACTAGCGATTCTGAAGTATAAACAAGTAATAAATACGAACATATTTTTAGAAGGAATTGAATTTGTTAAAGCAACAAAAAATTTGGGAATAGTACTTGATAAGAAATTAAGTTTTGAAAGTGAAATTATAAATAAGCTCAGAATATGTTATTATAAATACAAATCGCTATGGAGATATAAGTATATATTAACAAGTGATATCAAACTAAAACTTGTTAATGGATTAATCCTCACACATTTAGATTATTGTAGTACTGTATCTTTTATCACTGAGGAAATGCAACAGAAAATTCAAGTTTGACAAAACCATTGTATGAGGTTTTGTCTCAATGAGATAAACAGACGCGAATACATTACTGGGTATTATGTAAGGGAAAATCTTTTAAAGCTCAAATATCGCTGGTTACTTCTCTATGCTGTTCTACTATTTAGGGTTTTAAAATATAAATCTCCGAAATATCTTTTTGACACATTAGAGAAAAGATCTCCATCCTCCATCAACTGTTCCTCCGTAATGAATATTGTTATAATATACCAGCCCACACTACCTCAAAATTTAAAAAAGGTCTATTACATAGCTCCCAGTATACTAAATAATTACCCAAGTTTTTTTAAATTAACGTCCATTCACAGCTTCAAAAGAGAATTCAAAAGAATGCTATTTATACCTACAATTTAATGAATCTACAAGTGGCTGAATAAATCTCATTATTAATCTTATTATATTTTAAAGTTTTGTTAGCATTATTATAGTCAACTAGATATCCTTTATGTAATGTATATGATATACCCTAGTAAGATATAGTAATGCACTTAATGAATTTACCTTAGCTATTCAGGCGGGGGTGAAAAATGGCTATGCCAATCCCCAGCCCTTTGGAGCATTATTTTTTTTGTGTTATATTATTTGCTCGTATTTTGATTCTATTATGTATTAATACTCCAAAAAAATTATTATTATAATTATTATTATTATTATATAGTCCATCAGGCTACAGTTTGAGTTCTGTCATGGGTTGTCAAATTTTAGCTTAGGTATGTTGTCAGTTAGCTGTCCGTCTTGTTTATTTCTAGATCGTTCGATGTTTCGCACAGTTTGTAGGGCTCTCGATTTTTCTAGACTAGTGTAGGAGTATGTTAAAAATTACGCAATTGTTGTGGGTTTTTGTGCGAATAAAACGTGAGGAGACGATTAGTATTACATTTGTGCCGTGACACGTAGAGGTCATTCGTGACAAGATATTCAGAACAACCAAACAATATTCAATATAAGAATAGTCAATCGGGAATGGACGCAGACACTTAGGGTGAATCGCTGGTGTTAATTGGTCGGTAGCTTCGTTGATATAAAATATATCTGAAAAAAACTCTATACACTCATTGTAGGTAAATATAGACTTCTTATTTAGGGGAAATGTCGTTCTCTAGGGAGTGATTCATAACTAAGTGTCAACACAAACATATATAAAATTACTTTTTAAACGGAATGCTGTGTATCTTTGGTATAATATGAAAAGCCTGTTCAAAGAAGAAATTTGATATGACCTATACGGTTTGTGTCACTACCTCTAGAGCTACGGCATATTACAGTGTGAATGTTAACCTCATTTGACATTTACATTTTTTTTATATACTATATATCGAAGCAGCCGCGCAGGCAGAAGCCTAAATGCCGGAACACCGCGGCTGCTATGATGATTCGAAAGAAATTTTGTTAATACGATTTTTGAACTGCCTAAGGTTAGTAGAACTGGGAACAGCTTCCTCTTGTAGATTGTTCCACAATATCGACACCCTCGGGACAAAGGAGCAGTCGTATCGGCCAGTTCTGGATGTACGAAGTTCGACACGGTTAGCATGGGACGCCAAAGTCAGTCGGGTCTGTCTGGCAGGCACGTCACGCGGCGGCATCATGGAAGAGAGCTCTGAGGAGCAAAGTCCGTTGGTGTAGCGATAGAAAAGAGCTTGTCTGCTAGAGAAGGGTCATCGATCAGTCGGACCGCACTCCTCTGGACAGCATCGAGCATGAGTAATGTAGTTGGGGCGGTGGCACCACGTGCCAAACGTGTTAGCAATACTCGAGGCTGGGGCTTATCTGGGCCTTGTATAGAGTGAGAAGGTCATGCGGTCATGTTTTCGTGCCAGATCAGGTCTTTGGTGATCTGGACTCCGACCAGCCGAAATGAATGGCTCTTTGGCAGAACTCGGCCGTCCATCGAAACCGGATGAGCGCTAGGACGCCTTTTGTTCGTCAAAGTACAGTACTGTGTTTTGGAAGCATTGAACTGTACAAGATTGTTGCGTTCCCAAGCAGCGATAGCCTCCAG